GTAAAGAAGTTTAATTGGATTTTAATAAAGATAGAGGCATGGCCTCACCTTTGAAGATTAAAAAAAAAAAAAAAAATCAGAATATAACGATTAAAAATTTTTTATAGGGTAACAAAAATTACAAATCAGAAATTTACATGCAAATTTCCAACCTACATATCCCCATATCTCTATATATAAAAACATATGCATTATATATGATAATTTCTACGATATGATAATTTTAACATTATAAAATATCAATATTACTAAATTTCGTTTAAATACTTGTCCAACATGATTAATGCTGTAGTGTGTTTAGTCTGTGCGAAAGCTTATATATTTCAAATTACAATGTAATTATATGTCTAGAACGTAACATAAATTGTTTATGCAGAAATTAATAACTTAACAGATCGGCCAAAAAAACCATTCGGCAAATTTTTATCAGGTGTCCAGAAATTATGAAAACAACTGTAATGCTAAAGAATCCACTATAATGCAAGCCGAAATTTTAATAGATTCCAAAATATTCCGAAAACTCAAACAATTCCGAAAAATCCCATGCGCACGAAATGCGCATGAAATTTGATATGCACATCACATCACTAGTGAAAACAGGATAAATTACAAAAAGTCATCCAGCGAGTTACCCAACGGGTGAGCTATTAATCGCCCGTGTGGTAGTTGAACTGAAAACTGGGTCAATTGAAAAAAGTCACTATTAAATTCTTTTATAGTATTATTGTAAACTTTGAAGCACCTAATAAAATTAGTTGAATTATTTTTTGGTGGATTCTATTAAGTTGGTAATTGATTTAATATGTATGTAATTTTTAATCAGATGAGTAAGGCCACACTAAGTTAAATTTTCGTTCTGCATTACCCGCCGATCAATTTTTCAAATTCTTTTTTTTTTACAATAATAATTTGATTTAATACTTGCCTGGATTTATTTATTGTGAAATTTGACCAGCGTTAAGGTTAGGGTTGGGATTAGAGATGGGAAAAATGCGCATTTTATAATAAAATGCGCATGAATGCGCATTAATGCGCACGAATTGTTTCATGCGCATGATATCGCATGATAAAAAAAAGGCAAAAACGATCGAGAGGAGAGAAATTTTGATGGGATAAAATGCGCATGAAACGGTATCATGCGCATGAATGCGCATTAATGCGCATGATTCCTCAATCATGCGCACGCATGAAACCCATCTCTAGTTGGGATAAAGAATGGCATATAGTAAAATTAGGCTAGGAATTTTTTTAATTGGAACGTAAAAGGTGATTTATTAGGCAAAATTTTAAGTTATCAGTAATGTTTTGAAAAAGCCTTCGATTTCATGTTACATGAAGATTGTCCCTGATCTTGCGATCTACATAGAAAAAGTTCCTTTTTGGGTTTAAGGCAAATTTGCCCAGGCGTCAAATAGCAATACTATAATATTTATTTTATGAATGTAATTTAATATTTAATCAAAATATAAAGAATATCAGGATATTTTGGGTAATAGACGACATTAACAGATCTCGGGAGGTATGGTAATTTCCTCCTATCATATCTTTTATGAGATTTGATCGGTTGAATCTGATAATGAAATTTGCAATTTACAGGTTTATTTAACATATTATTGTCGGAATGATGCTGAAATTTGAACATATTTGTTTATTGTTGGTTACGATTTAGGTTAAAGTTCATAATAAAAGAGTATAAGTTATCGTTATGTGGTTTTAGTATATTTCAAATCAAGATTGCAGATTTGCACAGTTCCTTTATTAGACTGTAAATCCTCCGATATGAATTTTAGCATCTGATTTCAGTATCATCCTCAACATTTATTAACATATTAATACAGTTAAATAACGATTGCTCCACAAAATTTAAAGCGTCTGATATAGTATATATAAGTTCTTGCAAGCACTCAGCTGACCTGAGCTGAGCAGGAAGTGCATAGTGATAGCACTATAGTTATTAACAATATATTCCCCTTTTCGGTTTTTTCGGCCTAAAAAATTGATAATTAGAACAAGCTTCTGATTTCATATTGTAGATAATTTTGACCAAAAACAGTGAATACAATGATTTCTGATTAGCATTAGACCTGGGATTCACAAATTTTAGCGTAGATCGCCATTTTTATACGTACGTACGTACAATTCGATCGGACTCAACTATTTTGCTGAAAAAGTTGTTCGGATTTAGATTAGATTTGAATTGATCTATAGTTAATGTTTCCAGAGGCAAATTGTTGACGAATTCTATCAACCCAAATTAATCCAAATAGCCGAATATTGTCTATTACTGAGGAATACAAAGTTGATATAACCAAATATAATAAGTGGGAAAGAATCTTCCCACAATCAATATATCTACATCTTACATAGCAAACTAAATCTAGTGGAGGCCAGGTAGCCCACTCTAGTATAGTTTTGTGCCGAGGATAAACTAGTTCTAGTAATAATTCTGTAATTCGTTTTCTATAATGTAACGCATAATTATTCAATAAAGACCAAGAGTCTCACTTTTAAAAAAAAAAATAAAATAAAAGCAGAAAGTGACAAATTTTGTAAATATTAATACGAATACATTAGGAGTAATTAATTAAATGTATTTATTCAAATACTTTAAGAACTTTATTAATTTAATATATTCACTACAAGAGATACAAGCATATATAATAACATTTCAATTATTTATGGTGCAGGTACGCGCAATAAATTATTTGGAGTACCTATTACAATAGTTTGGTTACCACCAAAATCTATTGCATTTTTAGTTGACAAATCGTTCAATGCAGTGGCCATTTTTTCTGGACTTTTATTACCATTTTTTGCAATAATAAGAGCAATTGCACCAGCAACAAATGGTGTTGCTTGAGAAGTTCCCGCCAATGCACTAACATCAAATATAGAAAAAATACCTGCTGACACAACTCCGAGACCTGGAGCAAAAATATCAACACATTTTCCAAAGTTGGAGAAAAATGTGATTTTATTCTTTTCTTTATCGATCGGATCAACTTCTACTGCACCGACAGTTATTGCAGTTGGTGCGGATGATGGTGACAATTTACACGCATCATCAGCGTCATTTCCTGCTGCCACAGCTACATGAACACCTGCATCTGTGAGCGCTTTTACTGCTTCATTCAATGCATCTGATTTCTCCCCTCCAAGAGACATGCTAAAAGAAATTTTTTAAATTAACGATTAAAATTTTCAAATTTATATCATAATTTATATCATAATTAATACGTACTTGACTACAGAATTTTTGGTTGTTGAATTTTTATGAGTTTCTAGAACGAACGTTAATCCATCTATAATACCCGAAGCGGTACCTCCACCGAAAGGATCGAGAACTCTTACAGAAATAACAGTAGATTTCTTTGCGACACCAAAGTTTTTACCGGCTACAATTCCAGCAACATTAGTTCCATGTCCATTTTCGTCATTATCACTAGTACATCCGGCGCAAAAAAAGCCTCCAGATTTAGCACGTCCTTCAAATTCTGTGTGATTTTTAAATATACCACTATAATTCAGAAACATCATTAAATCATTTATTCTAACATTTAATGAATACTAAATAGCAGTTATCATTTTGAACTACTTACGTGTCCACTATAAAAACATTTACGCCTTCACCTGCTGTATCAGGAAAGTCATATTCCCCATCTAAAACAGGATCTTTCTGATCTATACGATCCAAATTTAGATTTGGAATTATGGCTTTCTGGACATCACGTGGAACCACATAATTAATTTTCATTTTAATATCTTGTTCCACAACAGCGACTTCATCTCTCTGCTTTAATGTTTTACTAGCAAATTCTTGAGTAAACCAGCCAGTGTATCCGTAAAAACCATCAACAGAAAAATCCTTTACAAAATTTTTATTTTTAATCGATAAAATATTTTGTTTAGATTTTCCAACAATTATATTATGATTATTCTTTAACCATTCATAGTGTTTATTGCGACCTGATTCAGATTTAAGAATAACATTAAATACAACTCTATCATCTTCTGTAGTTGGCTCAACCGAAGTAACCAAAACGAACAAATAAGTTAATACGGAAATAAAGGTAATATATTTTAAAAAATCCATTTCTTTTTCAGAAAGAAAAAAATTATTGGGATGATTATTGTTATGTATCTTTTCTAATCTCTAAAAAAAAAGAAATTATAATAAAAGAAAGATGAGTAAAATAATATAAGAAAGCACGGCGAGTAAAACAAACTTCGACATTGTATTTATACATTTTTTGTTACTGTCATTTTTTTAGAAGTCTTATTTGAGACTATTAATTAGAAGTAGAACTACGTATATTTAGCATGATTAACAATAATTTGTAGGTACTAACTTTTTTTAATACCATATTATGAAAATTATTTTTGATACAGTATTAAAAAAAGCTAAATGTGCTTGCGTGCATACACGTAAATATTTGGATTTTTTAATATCTAGATTTATCATATAGATTTGTAGACATCTGATTTCACAGAGAATCAATGCATTGACAAGCTTTTTTAAAGATATTAATTTACAAACAGTTCATTTCATAGACAATTCATTTTATCGACAGTTCATTTCATAGAAAATCATTAATGCTGATTCGGGAGTTATTTGCTATTAATGATTATCTATAAAATGAACTGTCGATAAGATGAACTATCTATGAAATAAACTTCTGTAAATTAATTGTAACAAATGATAACAATGATTTCAAAATTCCAGTAGCGCATTAAACTATGCCATTTTTTGCCATAATTCATTATAATTGCGACTAATTATGGCATTGCGCTCACATCTAGAGATGGGAACGGCTAGCTATAGCTGGTTCTAGCCGGCTATAGCCATAGCCGATATTATGGACAACACACGATTATCTGAATCCTCTGGATTATTTATGTTGCACAAAATATTACAGCTGTTCTCATAAAATTCTGGAAAATCTGGCAAAAATTGACCGACTGAATATTTGCCGATTCGATAAGTTTTGGTTCAGCAATGATAAACTTTTGATTCGGATATAATTACATTCGAATCAAAAGTTTATCACTGCTGAATCAAACTTATCGAATTGGTAAATATTCGGTCGGTCAACTTTGGCAAATTTTCCAGAATTTATGAGAATAGCTGTAAAGCTGTTTTTCATAAATTCTACAAATTGACCGATCGAATATTTGCCGATTCGATAAGTTTTGATAAACTTTTGATTCGAAGTTTATCACTGCCTAATCAAGGAGTGCCGTTAATACAACTCAAAAGGAATTTAATTTGTAAATAAACAAAGTGTGCAAAAACACATATTTAGGGTTAGGACGTTAACACTAGAAGCTATATCCTCATTATATGTAAAATCTCGTCCCCGACACTTTAATTAGTGCACCAAGGTCGAAACACTAGTTATTGAGCATTTTCGCCTATCGCACGTGTTCGGGATTCATGTCGGTCTGATTCGGGACGATCAAAATTTGAACTCACTAATTGGCTATTTCCTTGTATTACCGGATATCGAATCCGGGGTCATTTAAAGCCTGGCACCTTACTAAATTACCCGATTTTTCCGATTTTTCCGATTTTTATTAGGGTTAGTGTTAGGGTTGGATAGAAGGTGTCTACATATAGTAAAATCGCATTTCTGACACTTTTACTTAGTGAACCAAGATCGGTTCTGATAGCCGTTTTTTTATATATTTCGTGGTTTTGTCTTTCCGTTTCGCTTTGTTTTGTTCGGACTGATCCGGGTACTTTCGTAAGATGCAAGGCTTTAAACGACCCCTCAAATCGGCAAATATTCAGTTGATCAAATTTTACCGGATTTTCCAGAACATCTGTAATCCGGATGATCGAAAATTCGGAAGTCCGTGTTATATTACAGCTGTGTATATTTTTACATGTAAGATAATTTTATCATTATAAGGTAGATGTGCACTAAAATCAGAAACATAGACAACGATATTTATAATTATATATGCTATTCTTACATTATATCGTAAAGCTTTTGATTAGATATAGTTTATTCATTTATTTTATTACAATATAGAGAGTTTCGCACTGTGCTTTCATCAACTGACTTAGTTTGTAAATCGCGTAGAGAAATTTTAGAAAATATGTAGATCGCTAAATCGATTGAAGGTTTAACAGTATTGTAACTAAAAATTGCATATATAGGTGGTCTGCAATCCCGTTCCAACTAATAAGTAGATATGATTAGCGTAATACCAATTATTGATAATAAAATATTCTGATTAAATATAAAATGGAAACTTTAACATTTTTAAGTAAAACTCAACACATTAAAAATTAAGAAAATGATCTATGTTACAAACATAAATTCAGAATTTGTTAACACATGCATCGGGTGTATTATAGCTCAGCTTTCGGACAAGCCTATAAAAAGGATTGTGTGAAATTTGTACGTATAATATTCGTGTTGAATAGACAGATTATACAAGTATATATATTACACAATTCTTTTTATAGGGCAAGTTAATTAACAATGTAGATCAAACAGGAGGAACCGTTGATACGTCACAAAATCGTTACACAATTGATGAAAATTTTTTTTATATTATTTTACAATACT